TGCAGCCTGTCTCATGTAAACACTGTATTCTCTGAGAAAATACAGTGTTTACATTGAAAGCTAGGAACACCTCCAGTTGCAGTCACTCAGAGTGAACCAGAGGGACTTCAGAGTTGATGGAGGCATAATATGCCTCCATCCACTCAGATCTGCTGTCAGCAGAGCACAGGGCAGCACTGTGCACAGCATCCTGTAATTCAGTATCTCCTCCCTCTGCATGCAGACACTGAACTTTCCTCATAGAGATTCATTGATTCAATTCATCTCTATGAGGAGATGTTGATTGGCCAGGGCTGTGTTTGAATCATGCTGGCTCTGCCCCTGATCTGCCTATTTGTCAGTCTCAGCCAATTCTATGGGGAAGCACTGTAATTGGATCAGGCTATCACAGGTCAGCAGACTACTTGTTTTTCTAAGTCTAACAACATGCAGATTTACAGCTTCAGGCTTGAATACAGTAAGATTTTTACTATATTTATGGAGGCATGAGGGGCCCAGGGGGGCTAGATGGTGGTGTTAACACTATAGGGTCAGGAATACATGTTTGTGTTCCTGACCCTATAGTGATCCTTTAAGCAAGCTAAACTGCTTTAGGGTTCTGAGGGTCCTTATAATTTCATCATGATCTTTTAAAAGCCTTGCCTTAAAAGCCTTGATAGAACAGTATATTGAGACTTCTTAGGAGCAATACTTTTACATTGCTCCAACAGTTATATAATATAAAAGAGCAGGATAAAAATACTGCGCAAAATGATTACATGTGATGTTCCATAGGTTGAAAATGGATTTAAGACCATGAGAATTGTACTCTCACATATTTTTTTATGCTCTTAAACAATAACACTTTTTTTATTAACACTTCTGATCATTTCTCAACCACATTTGTTCCGCTCACAGGACAGTTTTCTAGCAATGTGTATACTGCAGGTTAGTGATGTCCCGAACTGTTCACCGAACGGTTCGCCGCGGACGGCGAACATATGCGGTAAACTTTGACCCTGTACCTCACAGTCAGAAGACACATTCCAGCCAATCAGCAGCAGACCCTCCCTCCCAGACCCTCCCACCTCCTGGACAGCATCCATTTTACATTCATTGTGAAGCTGCATTCTTAGTGAGCTGTCCAGGAGGTGGAAGGGTCTGGGAGGGAGGGTCTGCTGCTGATTGGGTGGAATGTGTCTGCTGACTGTGAGGTACAGGGTCAAAGTTTACCGCATATGTTCGCCGTCCGTGGCGAACCGTTCAGCGAACAGTTCGGGAAATCACTACTGCAGGTGAATATCAACGGCCCTTGGACTTTATTTATTTTATGTAGCAATTTATGTTGTAGCATTTGTAATAGATTTTCATATCTACAACTGTTTCCTGATCGCTATATACTAAAGGAAAAAAAAAAAGTTTAAAAAAATTAAGTTTGACTGTTGTAGATTTTAATAAAATAGTACTATAGTGTAACTTTACAAAGATATATAGATAAGAATCAATCTAAATATAAAGGCAAGGTAACATCTTTGTATACATTTCTGCAAAAGGGTAATGGTTTGGTACAATCACATTTGTGACAAGGAGCTATAACTTTCTTATATAAACGTATAACCTTTTCATCAAATGACTGAGACAAACCCCAAAAGAGGCAGTGACAAGGATAAAGTTTCCACTAATTGTGCCTATGCATATTTAAGGTGCTTTTGCATACCGATTGCAGAATTATACAGCCTAAAATATCGTTCTTATAAAACCTTTTTTAATATAAATAACCGCATTTTGAATCTATGCGGTATTGTCTCCACTCACAGCCTCACTGAAATACTGAACAATTAAATATGCATGGAAAACACTCTAAGGGCCGCCCAGTAGCACTATAAGAATGTATAGGACAGGTTGAGCAGCAATTCACTTTTTTTATGCAGGATCGGGTGGTGGAGTCACACAGGCTATCTCCAGGCGCTCTGGTCCTCTAGAGCAGTTTGGTGATTAGCACAATGGTTATGAGCAGCTGTGGAACAGATGCTTGGTGCCTGCATTGCACAGTCACCTATCGTCAAGCCGTGTAAGGTGCCAGATAGAATAGAAGAGAACTGGAAAAACCACCTCTTTGGCTCAACAAGTGTCTTGTCAGTTGTACCTACACCTTGGCACTGTGCAGTTTTTGAAGTGTTCTAAAGTATGGGATATTTCAGAAAATACAGTGTTTACATGAGAAAGGCTACAGGGAGCTATAGTTCTCAACCTGAACAACCTCATTAAGCTGAAGTTGTTCAGGTGACTATAGTGTCCCTTTAATAGTTCTTTAGTCAGATTTTAACAATGTGTGCCCATAGATTGTCTAACCAGCTAGAATTTACAGAAAAGATTGAGGGTTGTTTATTGCACATTTTGTTATGGAAAACGGTTTTGTGTACCTATAAGGTCTGTTGGTGAACTCCATGCACTTGCTTCTCAGGAACCCAACCTATCTTTCCATCACAGCAAGGTTGCTATCAGGCTGTTATCTTCTTTGGGACCTAAAACTATCAGTTCAGCTATTGTGAACCAGTAAATTGTGTTAGTGACTTTCTGTTAAAATCCAAGCAATGCAGTGAAGTCTAGACTTCGTTTCCTAGGTATTAAGGGACACTATAGTTCCGCTTAATGTTGTTGTTCTGGTGTGTAAAATATTTTCCTGCAGGTTTTCTTAATGTAAACACTGCCTTTTCATAGAAACATCTCTAGTGGCAGTCACAGTCACACCAGACGGCCACTAGAGGTGCTTCCAGGGTCAGTGCTGCACAGTGTGAAGCACTGACGTTCAGCCTCTCCATGCTCTGCATGGAGACGCTTAACACTCCCCACACAGATGCATGGATTCAATGCATCTCTATGAGGAGATGCTGATTGGCACAGTGTGGCGTTTTGCCACACATGCGCAATAGCCTCCTGGTGCTTTCCTATGCGAAAGCATTGGATTGGATGAGATCATCAAGTTTGATGATCTCAGCCAAGAAGGTGGCACAAGGGTGGGGCCAGCCGTGACAAGATCGGCGCGGCGCTGGAATAAGGGTGAGTAAAATCACCATTTAAAGGCAGGAGAAGAGAGCTGGGGGCCTAAATAATGTTATTACAACTATAGTGTCAAAAATACACGTTTGTATTCCTGACACTATAGTGTTACTTTAAGATTTACCTCTCCAGGATTTAGCTTTTCAGAAAATCAAGGCTCTGAGTCATGTTCAACTGCTGTGTTTGTGCAGAATTTTCTTTGGCCTATACATCTTCAGACTAAATTTCTCCTAAATTTAATCAGAGTTTCTAGTTATCTTGCAGTGTCTCATAAGTTTGTACTGCCACTATCCATATAATAAAAAAAACCATAATGAACTCACTGCAAATATCCTTTTTCATAGCATTACTGGCAGCATATATTTCCCTTCCTTAAAAAATTTCTGAATTTTTCAATTTCTGGTTGGTGGCTTTAGAGGTCTTTTCTTGCATAGTTAATTGTTTAATCTCTCACTGAAAACTGTCTGTTCATGTTAGCAGTGGAGACAAAACCCACATGGGTTTGCACTGTTGCTAATTCTATGAAGAAAACAATTTATTGTAAGCAAAATGTAGTTATATGCCAAATAGTAAATGTACATGTTTTCCCATTTTAAATTGCTCATTTTTATTTTCCATAGGAATCAGTCATTAGAAAAATGCTATGTGAAGACCCTAAAGGGAGACCTACAGCCTGTGACTTGAAGAAACTATTCATAGAAAATAACCTTCTGGTTTCAAAAACTGTTTAAAATATTTAACAAAATTCTTCTTACCAAGTAATTGAAGCACATTGACATTCAATCTGTGTCCGTGTATAACAACTGACAACTTAGAAAACAAATGATATGAACATTTTAACAAGATAAATGTGTTATTTCAGAAAATATTGAAGTGTCTTTAACAACACCTGTTGTTATACCTTTTAAAAATAGGATAACAATTCCCAGCTAATCTGGGCCTTCCAGAACTTTTCTTTTTGTTTTTAAAAAAGTTACCTGTGTTTACTTATGATGTAATTGCAGACCATAAAATTTATTATAGCTTGATTATATAAAACTCCCTACTATGAATATGGATTAAAAGTATTCCTACAAAACAATTTTAGGTTGCTGTTTAACCCCAATTGGTTTGCAAAACACCACCTACTGAATCCGAGTATTTTGGGTGTCCTAAAAAGTAATTGTGACGGAACGCTGGCACTCCGACTGAGTACCTCCGCCAATCGATGCTCCTAGTGCTCGCTGAGGACTCCAAGCACTCCAACCGACACCATCAGCACTGCAGACCCCACTTCCAGCGATGCAACTGCGCCGGGGTCTCTGCTGTTTCCACCCACCCTGGACCCAAGGCCAGGATCCAGCTTCCAGTGGGTGAACCTCTCTTTCCCCAGAGAGCAGGAACAGGAACAAATCAAGCTATTGCAAGAGCTTCCTCTGGGGAGTAAGTGATTATAGCAATCCCCAGAGTGTAGGTATCCCTTCCCCCAAACATGAGCCAAGGCTTAATGCTGGAACAAGACTGATTTACTGGCACACAGAACTCACAATTTATGCAACACAAAACTCCTCCTCTGGGCCAGGCTAGATAATTGAGTTTCTACAATACACAAAGCTCAATTATCTGCTGGCCAGAAATAATACAGTTTCATAAAACACACAGGGACCCCAAAACATGCAATAACCCCATAAAAAGTATATCCTTGGAACCGGGGGATCTGGGTGAACCACATATCCAAAATTCACCCAGATCCGTTCAGTACTTTGGAAAATACAGTTTAATGCAGATTCTGCAGAACATATACAGGCTAAATGAAAAACAATCACTTTATAATGTGTCCCCTGCTGTATAGTCCAAAACCACTGCACGATGTCTCTGTGCACCAAATACTGGCAAGATGGCACCGTGTTGAAAAGTCCAAACAGTGTCTGTGAGTTAAAATGGCCGCCATCCATTGTTCTCACCATGTGCTTCTGATACAGGAAATGGTGGCCACCCAGTAACTCCACAGTATGTCCCCAGATGGTTCTTAAAAGGGCCAGCAGCAGCACAACACAAATCCATTATGCCCAAATCATGTCTTTAAAGGGCAATACATCCCAGGGGCCATAGTCACAGGGCAAGAGGCGGGCAAGCAGTCCTCTCCAGGCACAAGTGGCGAAGGGCACTTCGTCACAGTAATGTTTAAATATATTTTCTGTTTTAGTATGTATAGATAGAACATTATTTAATGAAACAAAAAAAATTGGGTAGAATAAATTTTTACAGATAAGGAAACCGTGTTGTAAATATATATACATATCGCATAATTATTATATACCGTATTTTTCAGAATACAAGAGGCACTGGAATATAAGACTCACCAATATATTTTAACGTTAAAAAAAATTAAACAACTTGTGCCATAATTACAGTAAATGTCCGCTTATTTATAGTGTATGCAGTATGTGTACATTGGGATGTAATGAGGGTGTATAGTGAATGCAGTGTGTATGTTTATAGTGGAGGCAGTGTGTGTAGTAAATGCAGCGTGTATGCCTTGGGTGTGTGAGAAAGAGGTGCAATAAGGGCTGTGTTCTGTAGAGGGAAACAGAGGAGCACCAGGAAGGGGTTGAAAAACAACATTCCCTGATGGTCCAGTGGTCCCATAAAGGGCTGCACCTCTGCCAGGAACACAATACTCATGAGCCCTGGCATTTTACAGTGTCAAAGTGTCACAGTGGTAACCCACATGGGGGTGCTTGTAAGAGAGGGAGATAGTCTCACAGGCTCCCCTCCTGCCACAGAAGACTGCAATGGCAAAGTGCGAGAGCTTTGATCTCCCTCAACGGGACAGAATGTTGTATACAGATCATATACGGTATAATTTATTTGCATTTTATTACATTGTTTATTACATGTATATTTGTTTAACACTATTTAACCCCTTAAGGTGGCACCATCAACTCAATGTATTTCAATGAGATTTCTAATTAACCAAGTAACCAAGTAACCAGACCTCTTGGCTTAAGTAAATTAACATTGGTATCCCTCTATGTCATCCATCAACATTTAGCCTGAGTCATACCACGTTATATGCAAAACAGGCAATTCTTTATTTTTGTAAGACATGTGCAAAGGCATAACAATAATGGTACAGCAATGTTTTTTCGTTAAACATTTAGTCATAAGTATGTATTCACTAACAAGTCAGGGTTGTAATACGGTATACAATAAATGTGCATGGTAGGTACTTATATTGGATGTCCAAATTTTTGGATTAGAGTTCCCTAAGAGAAAGGGATGCATCCAGAAAGGAATACAGAGAAGATAAGAAGAAGCAGTGGGGGAGAAGGTGAGTATGGGGTTGTTATATCTAAGTTTATCATGCCAGATGAGCGTATCATGGGTAGGGGGGAGGGTGCGATACCTCTAGGGAGCCTCTAGGGAGTGTCAGGAGTGTCGGCCCTCTTGCAACTCTACTAGTCGCTAGGGAGGTGTAGTCATACTCACCCAGGTCCTGTTCCCATTGGTCAGCATATGTCAGTCTGCCCCAGTCCCTGGTCTCCGAGCAGAGGTGGGCATACAACACCGTTATCAGACCCTTAGGCATGGTCTCTGTCAGGCAGAAATGTTCAAAGAACGTAATTGGTTGTAGCGCTGCCCCTTTGATGTGTGGTTGTTTTGCAAAATCTTTTAGGTGAAGATATCTGAAAAAATCGGCAGGTGTGAGATGCCTCCTTTGTTTGAGGTCGTCAAACCCGATTATCTCAGTTCCCTAGCATAAATGTCATAATCTTTGAAGGCCCTTTTGCTCTAAATTTCTGAAGTCTCTAGCGGCCATACCTGGAGGAAAATCCCTATTGCAGAGGTAGGGCATGAGGGGGGATGGCGGGGGTGCCAATTTGCTTTTTAATTGTGTTGAATCCTAGATTCTCAGTGAGTTGAGGATCGCTGGGCAGATGACTCTGATCAGGGGTTTATTTTCTTTTGGGTCCAACATAATCAATTGAAGTAAGTCGGCCCCTCTCATGAGTGACTCTATATCTACCCATTTTCTCTTGTCTGGAGGAGAGTGCCACATCGCTATTTGTGTTAATTGAGCGGCAAAGTAATAAAAGTATAGGTTAGGAAGTCCCAGACTGCCCCTCGTTTTCGGCCTATATAGAACCAGCCTGGATATTCTGTGATGTTTATTTTGCCAAATAAAGGTCCCTATTGCTTGCTGTAGTAGAAGAAGGTGTGTCTTGGTAAGGCGAAAAGGTAGCGCCTGGAATAGAAAGAGAAAGCGTGATAGGATGTTCATTCTGATGGAATGAATCCATCCAATCCACAATATAGGCTTGTCAAGCCATTTGTCCAGGTCTTTCGTTAGAGATTTTGTGAAGAAAATTGACTTTTACCTGTCATTTTCTCCTTTTCATTTGGTATTTTTATGTGTTATTACTTGTATAGTGAATGGATTGGTTCGGTAGTTTGAAACTACCGAACGCCGACCACCCTCCTGGCTCATTTACTTCAAAGGAACCAGCTATTAAGTGCTCCCTGGGCGGCCGCTGTTCGTACAACTGAATGCCACGTGGAAAAGAAAAAGGCGGCCATCTTGTTCGCACGAGGAGATCCAGCGGGACTTGGTCGTCGAATGTCTGGAACTAAAATCGGACACTCGACTTCGCGAACTACCGCTGAAAACTACCGAACGCCGGCTTCTCATATTTCCCGAACAGCCAGGCAAGCCTCATTCGGTAGTTCTGTGCGAACGGACAAGGGGAGCAATCGCTACTATGGGCCAGGGGGATTTATTCAGGACTTTTGTTAGTTTTTTACAGTTTTGTGAATTGACCGACCGCACATGCTGAATTCGTGAAACTGTTTTGGGCAGGAGCTGCGTGTGTGGTCGGTAAAAGAGACCCTCCACACTTTTTCAGAACCCCTGGGTGAAATTTGGATATGTTTGTCCCCCAGATCGGGGCTATCAGGGGATATGTAATCTGTGGGGATACCTTGTGGGGAAAGGGGTGTTCTAAATTTTTGGGAAATTGTGTGCTCTCTGCCTGGAAATAATTGGTTTATTCCTTAACTTATCTCAATATCTCCCAGGCAGAGAGGAGGCGTGTATTACTGTAAAACTGTGTGTTGATTGGTTATTGTCTTTGTTTACTGTGGGAGGTCCTCTTGCAGGAGGATTTCTCATAAAAGCCCGTGTGTTGTAAATAAAATTCATTCCTGTTACACCCTTCATGAAGTCTAGGCTCATGTTTGGGGGATATTCTACTTGCTGGGAAGAATCACCTTGGAACTGCATTTCATCTATCTTATTCCTCTACTCCCTGCTGCAGCTATAATCACTCATGCTCAGCTGTTGGGAGAGGGAACCAAAGACTGCAGCACCATAACCACTGCAGGTCTTAACAGATTTCATTAGAGGAGTATAGTTATGGTTATATAATTTCTCATGATCCGCTGTTAAGTGGATCCCTAAGCATTTAAGGGAGTTATTTTCAATGCGAATATTATATCTATTAGCCTTGTATCCCGAAAACTCTCCGTAACCCCGTAGGACCTCACTTAAAGAGGCCATGGATTCAGTAGGGCTCGTGAGCATTAAGAACACATCATCCGCGTATGCCGACATTAGAAATTAGCTGCCTCCTATCTTAACCCCGTGTATTAACGGGTGTTGTCGAAGTGCCTGCAGTAGGGTTTCCAGAGATAGTACAAATACTAGCGGGGATAGTGGGAACCCCTGTCTAGTGCCATTGTACAGTCGGAAAGGGCTAAGGGGGGCCCCCCCGAGATTTGTACTTGCACTCGGACGTTGCTATACATGGTCTTAATGAGTGTGATATATTCCTCTGGGAATCCTAAGTGAGTTAGTACCATGAACACCCCTTTCCCCACAAGGTATCCCCACAGATTACATATCCCCTGATAGCCCCGATCTGGGGGACAAACATATCCAAATTTCACCCAGGGGTTCTGAAAAAGTGTGGAGGGTCTCTTTTACCGACCACACACGCAGCTCCTGCCCAAAACAGTTTCACGAATTCAGCGTGTGCGGTCGGTCAATTCACAAAACTGTAAAAAACTAACATTTGACCCTGTCAAAGGCATTTTCTGCATCTAGCGAGACAACCAGCGTAGGTGTATGTATGTCTCCAAATGAGATCTATGTTTGTCGTGTATTTTCAAATAGCTGTCTGCCAGGAATGAAGCCAACCTGGTCAGCATCTATCAGGGTCAATAGTTAAGTCGGGTTAAGTCGGGTCGCCTGGATCTTCCCTAGGATCTTCATGTCGTGGTTGATAAGCGAAATGGGTCAATAGTTTGCTGGTAGTAACGGGTCCTTAACTGGTTTTGGCTGTAATACTATGGTAGCTAGGGACATGTCTTGGTCCGGTGTGCCCCCCTCTCTAAGTTCCCTGAATAGCCTCAGAAGGTAAGGTTTGAGCTCTTCTCGGAATGTTTTGTAGTAACCATCATCGAAGCCATCAAGCCCAGGAGCTTTGTTCCCTTTTAGTGCTGTGATGGCCTGATCTATCTCTTTGCCAGTGGTTTTGGCAGCTAGTATCGCTATCAATTTGGGCAACCCCAGGTCTCTCAAGAAGCTGCGTATCTGTACCTCCTCTATTTCCCTACTCCCCTTGGAATGTGGTGAGTGGTTATATAATGTTTTGTAGAAGTCTGTGAAGACTAATGCTATATCAGTAGGTGTGGTTTTAATGGATCTGTCTGTGTGTCGGATAGAGGTGACGTGTGAGCATCTCTGTCGGGAGTTCAGGGAAAAATCAATGCATTTTAATGGGGATTTTTGAATAAGTAATCAGGCTTTTCCTATATGAAACTCATCTTGGCTCACCCCAAATGCCATTGATTTCAATACACTGGGGACCTAAATACAACATTTAGGCTGAGCCGTGCATGGCCTGACCAATAAAGCGGATGCATGCACGCTAGCGGAGCTCTGCTGCTAACTGGAACCCATAGGCTCTCCCTGAGCGATTGCAGGCACGCAGGCATCAACAAAAGCACATTCCACAGCAGGCAATAACCCTTCGGTACCGTTGGTACCTAGAAAAGCCTCACTTTTGGATGCATCCATCCCTGAGGCAGGATCTAAGATGGTGCCCGACACGCGGCTTTAGGAGTGCCCTCCAGTGAATCCCGCGGCATCGGATCTTTCTATCGAAGACCTAGACCTACGTGCTATTTTGCCCCAGCTACCATGGCCGAAATGTTGCACAAATTGGAGACCAGGATCAAAGACAAGTTTCAGACGGTGGATGCTGAGGTACAACAGCTGGGGCACAGGGTTAAGGCCCTAGAGGAGGAAGGGGAAGCCACGGCCTCACACTGGTCTGGTGTACAGGACCTACTACTTAAACAGCATGAGGCTTTACTCTATTTTTACAGGAATCTTGATG